TCAGGAGCACAATGTGATCAGACTGGACAGGCTTTCCTAAGACACAGTTATTATGGACAACATCCAAAGTGTAACAAACTTGTTCTGAAAACTACCGCCTTCTGCGTTTGTTAATGACTTACAAATTCAGACAAACTTTAGTGAGGTTTTAAAGGAATGGCCAAAGACCAGCTTGATGCCAAGCTTCAAGTACTTTTTCAAAAGCACAGGGAAACTGGAACACTACAAAGGAAATATGATAAAAATCCAATATATGCTAAACAGAGTATTCTCCCTGCAATTTGTTTCACCGGAAAAAGATGAGTCATCAACAAACACATATATAGAACACACACTCTAGCCTGAAAGGAGGTAACAGCATAAAGTAGCTTGGCCAAATTGACAGTTAACTACTAAGGTCATCTTGTCAAGTACAACCTACTGCCAAAGCCTCCTCACAGTGCAAAGCAATGATGCAAACTTCACTTGGGTAACACCTGCAGAGCTTACAAGTCAATTTTGTTTGGGGTGGCTTACAGCACAGCCTGAAACAAATGCCATATTACAATGGAGACCATGGCAATGGCACTATAACATACTGCTTTTAATCCTGTATCTCTGTTACATACCACACATAAAAGCTTTCACTTTACATAATGGTATTCTTAATAGTATCAACAAGTAGCCTATGTAAAATTTATCTGCAAACTGCTGCTGAGCTATGATAAATTACTTCTTTCACATGACATATTCAGTGATTAATAACAAATACAACACGACACTACTGCAAGTTTTTATCTGATGCAATGCAGGATAAACAATATTGTAGCAACTAACCACAGGCAGTCCAACATCCCTTCTCCCTATCCCCAAACTACATAAACACTTTGTCTAACTGCTTCTGTTAAGTGAAAGCTAAAAAAGATTTAAAAATCATTTATAAGCTGGTTTACTTATTTCAAGCATGTAGAAAGTTCCAAACTTTGAAAATGCATTTATTTTGAGAAATTATTAGTAATATAGACAAGGCTCTTACAACAACATACAAAGCAAGCATATGTCGACACACAGACTACTGTAAACAAAATGACAGCCCTAACCAAACTGGGCCCAGAAGTCAACCAAATCTGGTGGGGCAATGTAAGCCAGTGGAATTGTTTTTTCATTATATTTATGTCAAATTATGCTAATTATTGTGCCTAACTATAAATGAAAACCAAGAGCCAAAAGGGAATCACCAGGAAACAATGACTTCTTTAAAAAAAAAAAAATTCACGCGTAAAATACAAAAAAAAAAAATCAGTAGCATTTTCCAAATCTGCTGTTTAAAGAGCAAATAGAAATCATAAATTATGTGGAGTAACTGCTTATTAAGTATTCAATTAAAATTATATTATATTCTTCTTGTGTGAGTAATACAGAGTCAAACAAGGTGTTATACTGAAGAGATATTTGGATGCATCAACAAATCATTCTGTGTAGTCACTAGGATAAAACAGTGTGAAAATCCCATAGCATGGAAGAAAGGCAGGGACAGTGGGGAATGCCAGTGCCTACAGATGGCTGAGCTTTCCTTGGGTTCTCTGACCCTCATCCACTTCCCCACATACACAAATCAAAAGCAAGGTTTTCAACTATGTTACCACTGGACAACTGTCAGTTTTACAAGAAAGAATCCATATTTTGTTAGTTAGCATTCAATGAACTTTAGGAAACTCTATATTTAGTATGGAGAAAAACTTCACCCAGACAAACTGGATGCCATTTAAGAGCAAGCATCACTACACACAGGTTGACACCAAAGTGAATACTTTTAGTTTTTGCAGAGATAAAAAACAGAAACAGAGGTCAGAATGATTGAAACTTAGTCCGGTATTATACAGACAGCTAACAGACATTATTTTAACTACTGTAAACAGCACTTCTTTTTTTTTTTACTCTAAGACACAGGCAGTAAGATTTCTCACATTATTAAAGACCTGGATATTGAAAACAGACTAATTACCTTACTTGTTAGGAATACACACTGAGAAGCTATATTTAATGCATTTTAATGCTAAAAGTGTTCTTTTTAGAGGTCTCTTTTTACTTTCATAAGCAAACTGGAAAAGTAATCAACATCTTAGGAAAACAACATTTTATCATCTTCATGAGAAACCGTTTTATTATTTTACTGAAGTTAAAATTGACATGGAAGCATCCTAAAGCACTTTAAAAAAAGACATAGGAAATTTTAAAAAGACAGCTTAGCCAGGCAGCCTGGGTAGCACAATCTTGTTTCTTCCTCCCACTCAGAAACAACTATCATTTAATTATAAGGAACTTAATGGCTTTGACTACTGGAAATCCAGTGAGCAAAGGTTTGCTGAAAGATGACTGTATGCAAGTATTTTCAATGTAAAGGGGGAAAAAAATCCCAAGTCAGAAAGTGTGTAGAAGTATAAATGAAAGAAACAAATTTAAGCTAGTTAAGTGGAAAATATTAGAAAACAGGAGTATGACAAGTACAATTAGCTACAAGCAATCTCTCCTAGTCTTGGAGTGTTCTCTCCTACCATTTTTACCTGGTAAGAATTCTCATCTAAGGCAAGCAATCCACAGAAATCAAAGGCTTACAGGGGGAAGCAGGAACAAAAAAAACCAAAATAATTAGGTAGCAGTGATGACATTATAGACTGATTGCTAGCCAGTGACTTGGATAGATGAAATTACACAAGATGCTATCATAATTATCACAAAGTTATCATAGGTACAATATTTTATTCTAATCCTAAACATAAATTCATTAGATGGTTAGCATTAAGTTACTCCTTCAGCCTGTTTATTGCAGTTATCTTAGTAGAAGGACATGAACATATGGTAGAAATTCATCCTTGCCTAAAATTACTCTACTTGTACTCTGTACATTATAAACATGCAGAGAGGGAATGGCATTGCCAGATGTAGCAAAGGGAGTAAGAGGATAAGAATGAGGGTGAAGGAGGGAAGGGCTTCCTACCATCCCTTTCACATATGCTAGCACGGTATCATTTGCTGGAACAGTTAAAATTCATAGCACTTCATGGTCCAGAATGACCAGCAACAGCTGTGGTGCATGTACCCAACATTAGGAATACATGGAAAAAAATCAGGAACAGGCACAGAGAAGTGAGAAGTCTGACTCAGAAAGATAACCTGATACAGCAAAGCAGATGTGGAGTGAGAAAGAAATGCAAATCCATCAACATAGAGAGGTCAGCACCACACTGAACTGACAGAGCAATATAATGGCACTGAAGGAGGAAACACTTCTTTAGTGAAAGGAAATAATCATCTCACCAGTAAAGAAAGGAGCGAGCTCCATGGGCACTCAAGAGATACCTCCCCCTTTCCCAAGCTCCCCAAAAGTCAAAAGAAACAAAACTGAGAACACAGCAAATGAGAAGCATGAGATCTCTAACTAGAGGTGCTGCTTGCAGATAAGAACAAAAGTCTTCCACCAACAAATGACACAAAGTCAGAACAATGAAACATGGAAGAAGACCCGCTATAAGGGGACAGGGCATTTTATTTCTTGACTCATTTGCATCCTTCCCCTTCCAACATCAAGAATACGAGGGAGAATTTGCTCTAAGCAGAGTCCTATTTTAGCAACTACTTTGCCTGCCAGTTGAGAAAAGACTATAAGCTTTCCCAGACTGAAAACTCTTCTAGTTCTAGTCTTTGAAATAAAAATACCATGCTAGCAGAAACCCTGGAAGTCATATAGCATCAAAAGAAAACATCCTAAAGTCTCCAGAGCATTTTGGTGGCCAGTGTTAACAGTACCTATAATTCAAAACCACTCCAAGACTATGAGCCGTATGGGAATTATTTTATGAACTGTTAAAAACTTGTTCGTTTGCATAATACATAAGAACAGAAACTAGAAATTAATTCCTTACCACTAGAAACCAGAATTCTGATCTTCAACTGAAAGGATAAGATCATACATTTTCAAATTACGATACAAGGGCAGATAATTTAGTGCTGTTTCCCATTTCTGAGAAGCAGAACAAATAAAATCTGTATTTATTTATTAAAGCCATAATTTTGATTCTTGTAAACTCAAAGAAGTGAGTACCTCCTTGAAGCATTTCCAGCTACACAAAAACAGATCATTGTCCTTGAACTAAGAAACACAGCAGAAAGCCAAGGACTGTACTGGAACAAAGGCCACTTATCCAGGCACCATCATTTTCAGTACACACAAAAATTCCCAGAACACTTACAGTACTCTCTTCTCAAGAAAACAAAGTATTGAGGAACTCCAGATTGTCAACACCTGTTTTCACTGTTCTATAGTTTTCCTCAGTTTGCAAATAAAATAATTGCTTCCCTTTACTCTTCCTACCTGAAACTTGTTAAAGTTATCCTGGGCAGTAACAGTCAAGATTATTATACCACAAAATTTAACGACAATTCTTTAAGCTCCATTAGCTTCTCAACTACACTTACATGCTTCCAGTCTTCAGCTTGCAGTAAGTACCGACTCCTGTGGTACCTGATTTACTCAGAAGACCAACAAATAGGTGTGAGGCTTACCTCATTGAGAGTCTGCTGATGCAGACCAGTGCCCCATGCTTGCATGCAGAGGTTTGTGGGAATGGAGAAAGAAGCAAATTAGGGAAAACAGTGATGTTAGGAGTGAGGAAAAAATAATCTCCTTCCAATTGCTTTTGTTCGTTCTGTTGTTGAGGTCCTCTGAGATGGGGAGGCACCAGAGGAATTACATTTCCTTTGTTCTTTTTCCTTGATGCTGTCCTTCATTTCCTTTTCTTGATGTAAAGGTTAAAGGAAGGGGAAAGCATTGTTACAGGGAATAAGGAGTCAGAGGTCTAAGGCAGTTGTGGATCCATTCACAACAGGCAGAAGACTATGAATTATGAAGAAATTAATCATCTGGGACTGATATTTTCAACGTATTTTTCTTCCAGTTATGAACATTGATCATAACTACAGAGGAAAGAAAGAGCTCCTACCAGGACAGACAAGAGAATCAATTTTCTTTTCATCTGGGGCTTTTTATTTGAAACTAATTGAAAGATTGGAGCAACAGGATCTATGAAATGGACCCAGAATAACACAATCTTGTGTTGATTTCAAGTCACATGTTACTTACATACATAAACTATTTTATTTCAGTAGCTTATAGTCATAATGATATTGATCAAAGGCACCTGCAACTGTCTTGGTTGCACATGCACTGCAGTAATTATGCATGCAAATGAGCAGAGTAGATATTTAGGTGGTTGATCACCAGTATAATTACTATAACTGAATACACAATCATGGTAACTGTACACACAAATTACACATGCATGCAGTTTTAAAAACCAAGTGTTGCATTCATTGTCTCTATTTTAATAACATCCTGTGGAAATACGTCTCCATTGGAAACAATTAAAAAGTATTAACTTTTAAAAAGATGTACATTTATTCAACTGTCTACTGAACATTAAAAAAATATAACAATCCAGTAATTCTGTTTTCCAAGCTGATATATCAGCAAAATGTCACTACTGTCATAAAATTTACCAACTTGAAAAGAATAAAACATTTAAACATGGCCTCTTACTTCTCCTTCTTATATGCATTTATTTACCTGCAACTTCATTAAGATATTAAAGGTGATTATTTGAAAAAATAACGCCTATGACCAAAATTTTTAACAAGAACTGAATTAAATTTCCATTAGCTCATCACAATTTTAAAGTTAGAAGAGTTGGTGCATTCAAACCCATACAAGGTATTTTTCTAAAGTACTTAAACAACATATGCTGTCATGTCTCAAGCCCAGATTTTGATCCATCCATATTAACATAAAAAACAATTTTGCATTTATTATTATTTCAAAGAATATGACAGAAGTAATAAAATATTTAGATTTAGCAATATTTAGATATTGCTGAATTCTGGCAGATCACGGCGTAGTCGTATTGCCTTCAGCTTCTCTACTTTGATTTTTGTTCGCAACAGTTCCTCTTCCAGTTGCTGCTTTCTTTTCAAACCATCCCTTTTTTCTTGGACATAAAGACCAATTTTTCTTTGGTTTTCTAATATTATTTGATGCTCCTCTTTCAGCATTTGTAACATCTGGGGGTCATAACCACACACTGGTCTAAAGCGTTCTCCAACCTCAAGCCTAAAAAACTCATCTCTTCTTGGTACAGGGGAAGGAGACATCATCACTCTCATATCAACTGAAGACACTGATGTTGAAGGAGACCTTTCCATAATATGCACCAGCTGGTGTTCTTCCTCTTGTTCTAAGTTCTCATTCTGCTGTGAGTCTATAATCAGAGAAGGAGGAGGTTTGACATCCTCTTCCGACTGCAAGTCCATCATGACTGTCGCAGGATGGTGATCCAACATTGCCTGTGGTGAACTGGTGCCAGCAATTGTTTCTTTATCGATACTAGCACTAGAACACACAAAATCATATTTAAATAATCCATTAAAAACTATTTCAAAAGGCACAGCTGTAAGTAACCAAAGCTTCATTTGACTACTGCCATCTATGCCCGGGATTCTATTTCATTACCTGAACACCACTTGTGCCCCTCTTTCTTACCACACAAAGCCCTGTCTTACTCAGATTTTATTGTTCTAAAGGCAGTACAGAAAATAGAGAACTTGTCTGGTAGGCCCCTCTGACATTGAAGAAGGAAGAAGGGCTATTAATATCAAATGAAAACAAAAATAAAAAGGCAGCACCAAGTCATGCAAGTAATAGAAGAAAACGTTTGTATAATATAAAAGGTGATTTTAAAAGGACATTAATTTAGATGGAGTGGACCATGGCACAAACATTTCCATCTCCCAAACTTATTTGTCTCCCCCGTTTTAATGTGCTCCCTGTTTCTGATTCATGCACCCAAGTATTTGGGTTTTTTTCCCCAACATAAAATAATCACTAAATAAAATTATACAAAATGCCTTGAGAAAAAAAAACAGAGCCTAAAAGACAACCCTTGCCAGCAGATTTGGGAACCAAGCTAATCCTGGCTCCTTCTTTTTGAATCATCCATCTTAATATTTCTTCTGAAGCTTCAAGACACAGAAATGTTTCCATTAAGAACAGCCTATAGCTCTGTGCATTTCTTTTTTAAAGAACAACACCCACTTGACTCATCTGTCTTTGTGTAAATCCCTGAGTCAGCAGCATCTCAAATCATGATTTGGCATTGCACTGGCTTTGATGATGATAATGGCTCAAGCTGTTCCTGACACTTGTCTACCATCAGTTGTGTTTGAAACCCTACACTTCTGCACATCACTCCTTTATTCAGGTAATGTTTTTTTAAGCCAGACCAGCTTCTTGATCTATTACTGTACAGATCTACAAAGAATGCTTGCAGCATGACTGGGATGGCAGTATAGAGTTACATGGGAACACAAATATATTAACTTGGGATTGACAGCCAAGTCAGTGCACTCTCTCATGGCCAGGACTGTCTAAAACAGAGGCCATAACTGGTGGTTGCAGACTCAAGACATTTCTGAACCCCTCAAAAACTGCTGCTAGCAGTTAAAGGCAGCAAGTGGATCCATGATTAACATAATGTTCACTTTCCAATCCTGGAGGATCTGAGTCACCGTCTTAAATCTGAGGGTGAGCAGTAGAGTTTTTCTACACCTTAAAATGTCTTCAGAGCCCTACAAGTCACACACTGAGAAACTATCTGATTATTAAAACACCATCCTGATTCAAAAGAGATGTAGGTTCAAATTCCCAGAAGCAAAGAAGAAATGTAATTTATACATCCTGTTCTCACATAAATGCACTACCTCCTTAATGAAAAGGTAGCATGATCATAACTTCTGTTTCTCCCATGGTCTTCAAAACTCTGTGTTTAAAAGAAACAAACAATCATAGTTGCAATTTCTGAAAGACCCTGACCTAGCTTGCCATCCATTAACATGAAAATGCATTTTCTATAATAAAAGCATGAAAGCTTCTCAATACTCAGTTACAAAAAGGCCCATGAGGGTCAGAGCAATGTATTTTCCAAAAATAAAGCCTGTCAACCACACAAACTATTTAAACTTAAGATTCTTTAAAAACCACTGTCCATCTGAAGCAGGAATTGAAAACTGACCTTTCATTAATCCCCTGAAGAAAAAAAACAAGATAATCTTAATTTTATTGACTGTTACCTGAGCTGACTACAGAGTATCAATTATATCACCTTACTCCCTTCTACCTCATGCCACAAAGCTTCACTCTTTCCTACATGCTTCTTCCTCACATTGTTTTAGTCCTCTCATCATCGGAAGCATTATCCTGCACACAAATTTTCACTTGTTTTCCCCTGTGCTGAGTGTAATTCTGAGTTTTCCCCCTCTTCACAACCATAGCTTCTAATAAAGCTTCTCCCCTTCTTATTTGCTGGCTCCTGGCCAGCTTCTAGCCTGAGAAAAGTGGAAACAACCAGCAGGAGAAGCAGGTCATTCTGACAAAAGGAAATTGACAGAGAGCAGAAAGAGAAAGTAAGAGAGGGTAAATAGAAGGAAAAAAAGGTGAGATTTTGTGTAGCATGGACTAAAGCCTCTAAACAGTGAAAAACAAATCCAGCTCTTAATAGTGTAATCCACACAGAACTAGAAAAATTACCAAATCTTCAGATAACTCTGATGAGGCTTTTTTTTTTTTTCCCTTAGTCAGCCTCTTAAGTGGAAAACAATTAGACAGCAAAGAGAGAAAGAAGGAATTGAGAAACAAAAGAGCTGCCTGTATGGTGGTTACTAATGTTGTTTCTGACAACTTGACTGAAAGAAAGACAAACAACAGTTACCACAATTGGGGCATGGTGTTTATAACCCTGCAGGCACCCATGATTCACCAGGTTTCATTTAATCACAGCGAGGTAGAAATTCCTTAAAGGTGCGATTAAGAATTTGGGCTCGTTATAAGTCATATTTCCCTCCTCCAAAACCTAAGTCATATCCTGGTGAGTTAAAACCCAACACCAGGTTTATAAAATTAAGAATAAAATGCAACTTAGAAAACTATCAAATAATTATGTATTTGGGCAAGCAAAAAAATAATCTTGTAAATTGTGTTCTTTTCCTTCAGCCTACAGTGTAGTGGCTGTTCCTAGGAACAACCATTTTGGGCAAGCAGTAATCAAGTCAGTGTTCCCAGACCCATAAAAAACTGCAAAAATTGTCTAAATTACAGGAGACAAACTATGGAGATCATTAGCTCTTAATCATTCACTAAAAGCGTCAGTGCTTTTTATAAACCGATCTACAAACTAAAGTTCTCACACTATGGTTTTTTCCCCCTCCTTACAAAAGTTGGTAGTCAAGACACTGCAACCTTTATTAGCACAATTAAAAGCCTCATTTTGTTCCAGAGAATTCTTTGGAATGGTTCCTCCAGGGGCATTCATGAGGAGCAGCAGCACAGTCCAGTTGCTTTAGACTTCTTTACGCAAAGGACCCACAACAGAATATTTTTAGAGCATCTGGCATGTTGGGATTTAGACAATTGTTACTATTCAGTTCAACCAGTGGCACCATGAATCCAATACAGCGAGTGTGCGCATGCCAGCTTTTCTTAGAGTGTTACGCTGCTGCACTCACTACCAGCATATCTGATTAAAATACGGAAAGTTTGCTTCCCATTAATCTGCTTGGGAAAATAAGAAAAATCAGAGCTTTCTCAAGGTTGCTGGGGAGTTATTTGACTTCCATCCCCCACTCCCTAGCTTAGTTTTTGTATCTGGAGGAACCAAAATCCGACCCAGGCATTTTTTGATCCCTCAAGGACCAATACAGAACCAGCAGAGTGTTGCAAGTCAGATATGAGGGGCATTAGCCAGCTGTGGGAGAAAGCCTGCACAGTGCCTGCCTGTATTATGTCTGGCTCAAATCTAGACAGTGTGTCTCACTTTACTGAGCAGTAAAAAAAAGAAACCTTGCAAAAAAAAAAAAAAACCCAAAAAAAAACTTCTAGTGCTGTACCTCTCAGTTTCTCCCTGTATTTAAACTACCTCACATACGACACAGAACTGCTTGGAGTTTAGACTGCAATTAGCTTTGCCCCAGCTTCAGGGAACCATCATCAGTACAAGAAAAGTATCATTTAAAAAAACATTTGCACTCACAAAGGCATTGCAGTATGGAGAATCAATTTTTTTTTTTCTTTAAAGGGTTTGGATTAGCTAAAACATAACATGCAAACACCAAAGTAAATGAGAGAAAAATGTGAAAAATGTTTTTCAGCTCTGTGAACTAACTTTATTAAAAATCTTATATAAATTGGTAATAGTTCCATATGTTGCAAAATGACTGCAGTATTACCTTAAATGGAGGAGAATAGCCATCACTTTGCCAGTGTTTGAATAATCTGCCTATTAAAAGGTAGGGGAGGGGTAGAGGTTGGAGCTACTATTTCTCTTTGATTCTCTCTTAACCCTCACTTTCCAGAGTATGACAAAGACTCTGAAACAAGCTTTGAAAGAGCTGAAAAAAATGAATGCAATGCTAAGTCAACATAAAGCTTCTCATAAAACAACAGCAGTATTATTTTTTTCATTGTTTCCCATTTGGGAATTTTCTCTGAGAAACACTTCCTTTAGGTGCCTGAGAACAAGCAAAAGCATTACAAAGTAGATAGGAGGCGCCATAATTTTCATTCAGTAACAAAATAAAAATAATTGTCTCACCTTTGAACACCGCTCCTGTCTCTTAAACACACATTGGAAATCTGTGGAATCATTTCCACAACTTTCTTGGTTGGCTCGGAAATGCTGCTTTTACAATCTGAGTGAGTCTCCTTTTGCTGCAATAGCTCCTGTTTGGCATATTCTTTGAGCCTCTTGTACAGCGTGCGCAGGCCCTGTGCAGTACGAGGAGGGCGATCTACTCCGATGGCATTGTAGTTATCAGCTATAATATCCCAGCATCTGTTTTTTTCCACTATTACAGAATGCTTATTGGTATGTTCCTCGAGAATTTTAACATATGGCTTCACGAGTTTTAGCAAATCGAGCTTTTCAGATAAGGTAAAATTAGAAGATCTGGCCTTCCCAACCATTGTTATCTTTGAATTAAGGAAGCCGTTCCTGGAGCCACCATGCAGTCCCTAGCTCTGCTCAGCTCTTTTTCACAAACAGAAAAAGATCAGGCTTAACTAGGCTAGTCTCATTTAGGCCCACGCCTACAAGGGAGGGTTTATTAAAATTCCTTCAGCTTAAGCTGACGCAGGTTCAGGAAATCTGCTTAAGCCAAGCCTGACCTACATAAGGCTTCAGACTGAAGAAGGCGAGAAGAAACAAGCAAAATACACTTTTGTATGAAGAGACCAGACATATGCAGGATTTAAAAACATAAAGGTTTAAAGATTAGCACATTACCCAGCTAAAAATTACCTAATTTAGCTGGAGTAACAAGCTCTGACACATCTCCCAGCTCCCTCACACAATCTCAAACTGAAACCGTGCTGGAGATGATTTTACGTGTAACGACGTCCCCCCCAGAAAAGCAACAATTGCTTTGTGCGAGGCAGGGCGCGTTGCGGGGAGCGGGAGGCGGCGGCGCGTGTGGAGAGAGCCCCGGCAGAGCCCCCGGCGCCATTTGCATAGAGCTGGTCCTGCTGTCAGTCACTGCGGGGCGGCATCTCCCCCAGCCGGCTGGTTACGCTCGGGCCTCGCCGCAAAGCTCGGCTTCTCCGCACTTGGCAGCCGGCGACAGCCACCGGCACGGGGGCTTCTTAAAGAGCCCGCTGCGCTCCCCGGCCGAGCTCCGGCGCCGGAGCAGCGGCACGGTCGCGTCGGTGCGAGCGGGCCCCGAGCGCGGCCGTGCCGGCCCCGAGGCGGCTCCCGGGCGAGCCCCGGCTTCGCCCCTCGGCCGGGGCTGCGGGGAGGCCCCGCGAGGGCTGAGGCCGCCCGCAGTCGTGAGAGATTGCCGAGCGCGTTACAGCGGGTGGATACTGGGGGTTTCACAGTATCCACCAGCAAACAAATGACTTTTATTGTATTTATCCAGGCGCTTTTTCAGGATAAAGAAAAAAATCTGATTTTTATTAACAAGATGTGCCTCCATTTCTAATGTTTGCTCAACAACGTATCACCTTAAAGCAAGCCTTCACATAAAAACGCATGCCAGGGTTTAAATTTCTGTGGTCTAAACAAAACCAAAAACTGGAAAAAGAGAAAACCCAACAGATAGCAGGAAAGGTGTTCTCAAGTACAAAAAGCAAAAACTAAGTTTGAAAAATGACGTACTCCACTGAAAGGGTCCGGAGGGTGGAAACAAACACCACTTGAGATAGTGGCAGCAGCTTCCTAAGCTTAACGTGTCCAGCCTTGAAAACAAGGGAGCCTAGAAGCGGGGCGGGGGGGAAGAAAGAGAAATAATTATAGCTGGAAATATCCTAAGGCTATAAAGATCTAGGTATAAACTTGTTTGCTCTAAGGGGAAAAAAAACGCAAAACAGGCAAGAGCCGCATTCAAAACAAGAAATTCACACTAAACAAAGGGAGACTTTTAACTGCTAAAAATCAATTAGCATTTAAAATAACAAGCACTTCTGGAACTAAGACTTGGCTTGTCAGTACCACCTAACAAAATTGTGACCAGTCCACTTTGCTGGCATTGCTTTCAAGCCAAGATTAAATAGAGCATGTTATAGTCTGAAGCCTATTACACTTAAATTTGAGAAACAAAATACTCTTGTGGTTAGAAGCACTGTATGAAAACCATTACTTATAAACACCTAATCCTTTCCTAGTTCCCCTCACTTTGCACTTTACTAATATTAAGAATATAAAGCTGGTGGTTAGAGTTTTGGGTTTTCTAATTTGTGTTCTTAATTGTTCTTTAGTAACTGAAGAAAAATTGGATGTGCTTCACATGGTTTAGACTCTGGTAGTGTCAGCATTGAGGAGTCACAGGTGAGCCTATAATTGTGCAGTGCCTACCCAGACTCCTGACTTTTTGGAGACAAAAATAAGTGAGTGATTAAAGGCTCCTCCCCATAGACACAAAGAGCACAAATGAACAGTGTGGGGCAGAAGAACCACAATAACCCAAATGAAAGGAACCAAGCCCTCAGTCCAGCTGCTTCCACGCCCCAGGGGTGAGACAGACCCAGAGTCCACAGGAGAGGCCCTCTCTAGACCACCTCACAGACACAAGTAGTGCATTACTGCCCACTGGGTATGGGACTCATTGTGAGATGCCAAAAAGAGTATTTTGGGATTGCAGAAGGCAGTGCAGGATATTTAGAGGAAGAACTGAAGTCAACACAAGGGACAGTGAACCATGAAAGTGGTTTTGGAAAGAACATAGGAGGATACTGGGAGAGGGGGGAAAAGGCTAACAGGAGCCAGGTGAATGTAAGCAGGTACAGGTACTGCCCAGTATGGTTGTTCACCATGCCCTGGGCCCGAGCACAGCGGACTGTCCCATCTGCTTGTTAAACTACATTTGCAGCTATTTTCCTGGGTGAGGGGAAATCTCCATTTAGTGTGACCATGTACAGAAACATAGATGCCAGCAGCTGGAGTTGTACACCACAGGTCGCAGGGGCCCAGGGTGCTTGAGACACCAGAAGGCAGGAGGAGCCCAGGCACACAGCCTGGATGCCTCTGTCAGTGTGTGACCTCGGGCAAACTTCAAACCAGACTAGCCACACAGAAGGCTTGAGAGCCAAGCAACCATGAGTCTGGGCCAGATACTGCAGAGACCAGAAGATCTGAGATTTGACTACTAGATGGACACCAGGACACCTGGGGGCAGGCCAGACCAGCTGCCAGAGAGACCCAGTGTGTGTTTGTGTGTCAGATGGGAGACCAGGGGATCCAGGGACCAATAACTGAGCAGAGTAAGAATTTAAGGCCACTTGCTGGAGGATCCATGTTGTGTACATAAGCATTTGCCACAAACAAGCTTTCTTCACAGTCAGCCAGTGAATGGAAAGGATGAGGCCATTGAGGCTGCTTGTATTTGCAATAGTGCTGCATTTCTTGATGTCTGTCTGTTTATACACATATAGTGTGCATATGTGCCTCTTAAAGATACATCCTTGTGGCCCTGGCCACGAGGAGCTGCAGCAGTCTCTTCTACAATGGGCTACCAGATGCAGCAACTCCCAATATTAGACTCATCTAAACCTGTATTACTCTATTACCTTAGTGCTCTATGTTGCTAGAGAGACTAAGTTTCCACACTAATGTAATTATAGCAGAATACTGCTATAAAGTTTTCTTTTGAGAAAATGCCTCATGAAATGCCTGAATAACATATTGTTCTGCATGAGTGTAAAATAACTCTTGTATAAAATGAAGCTGGCTGCCAACCAAGATTTTTTTTCCTTCCTTTATTTTTTCCCCTTTTTAAAATAGCTCTGCTCATCAGCCTAAGGTCATATCAGTACTTGGATGAGAAATCACAGAATGTGAAAAGCTTGGATATTAATGCTACGTATAGACATCTTCAAGCAAAAACAGTAGGTGTAGCTCCAAGACAATTACAAAAACCGAAGATGCTGCCACAATCCACCCTTCATCCTACACCTTCCACCAACACTTGCACTTATGCAACACAGTGCCCAGCCAGTTCAGCAAGATGATCTAGCTACAGAATAATCTATTTATTTTGCAAACATAAGAATTTAATATTAATTTAATAATTGGTTTAAGTCAACACAGATGTGGTACATTGTCAAAACAGTCATTTCTGCCTCGCCCCAGCCATGTCATGTTCCTGCCACTTCAATGTGCTGATATGAGCACTCACAAATCTGGACAAGTCATATTAATAATTTTTTTCTGAGCTGGGTTAGTTTAAATCACCAGCAGTTCCCTAATCTGGTATGCCACAGGATAAACAACTCACATAAAGAAATACCTTGATAAAGCTTCTTCAGACTCTATCTGGATCGTTGTAGGGTTAATTTGAAACCATATTCCTAAAGACTTGTATTATCACAACTGAGGGGACAGCAAACCACAGGTAGCAGGAGAGAAATTCTACTCAGCGTTGAAGAAAATAAATATACATGCACCCCTCACATCACTTCACTGCCTTCTATACCTCTTGGTTTTGCTGTGAAAATGTCTGGAATTAATACCAGAAAATGATACAAACAGTGCATCCTGCAGAACTATTGAGATTAATGAATCACAGCTGTAATACAGTCAGGAATTCAAGTAGCCAAATCACTGTGGATTGCTGAAAAAGCTCAATGGCCACAAATTTTACAAGTGATAGGTTTGTATCACTGCCACTCACTGCATCAAGTGGCCCATGTAAATATAGACACATTATAAGACAGAACACCCTGAAAATGAGAATGTCTTAAATCAAGGGAGCATTTTGGAGGAAGAGGGAGGATCTTTTGTCACACAGAACTGAGGAGGAATCTCTCCATGACAGACTTAAAAAAAGAATCACTTTAAGGTACATGGAGACAAAGGGAAAAAGACATTTGAGAAAACTGAGAATGCCCTAAGAAAGAATGTGTCTTGAAAGATGCCATTTGGAACAGAGAGCAAATATGAATGTTGAAAGGAATGACACCAGCTTAAGTGATTCAGGCTGGGACCTTCTAGTGCAAAAAAATATCAAATCACCAGATTTCTAAGCCCCAGGATAAGTCTGAAGGACTACTGTTCTTATTTAGTAATATGCAAGCAAACCAGCTCTGCAGAGATCTGGGGTTAGCATTTGCAATCACCTAGGAGCCTGAAAATCATTGAAAAGAGGATGATTGCAAGATTTGAATCAAAGCAAAAATGGAACCCTGGCACCCCTGTGCTTACAAATAATGTAGAAAGATTCAGCAGCTAGCATGGGGTATGTTATACATAACTGAATATACTGGGCTATTATGGCAGTGGAAACATTTGGCAAGTATCAAGGCAGTTGCTTACCCTTGCAAATGAATTTGGCAGCTGCATAAGATGAGAGTGTCTATAGGTAGTAAGGGCTGCAAAACTTCCATTAGGTCATCATATAGTCCTCTCTACTGACATGACAGCAAGACAGTGCCAAGTCATTCGATCTGCCTGTCTTTAAGAGCCTGCTGAGCAAAGGGTGGGTAAGAAAACTTTCATCTTGGAAGGTTTCTCACAGGGCCAGTTGTTTCATGGGCAAGGTCTAAAGGTAAGGGTTGCAGGCATTAGTCACTAAGAATAGGGTTGAAGAGGACAAAGTTTTGTGAACCAAAAGCTGTAATACAACTTCACCTAGAAGTTACAGTGTTTAAATACATTCACATCAGACCATTTAGAAATAATAGTTTTAGGTCATTTGTGTTTCAAATGGCTTTCTCATGTCACTTGATTTTTTTTTTCCTCATCTTCATCAGCACTTTCACCATCAGTTTTATACTTTATTGTTATTATCTTTGCTGTACCTGGACCTCTTAGACCACTCCTTTCCTTTCTCCTGCACAATTATTTCTAAACCCTTCTCCTGCATAGGATGTGAGACAAATTAGGCAACACTTTACCTCTTTTCTTTTTCCTGTATCTATTTTTGTGATCTGTATCTAGCATGTATTAACTTCCAACCTCTAACGGTTCTTGAAACTGCTGCAGGAACAAGAGTTCCAGCCTGCTTCAGGGGTCTTATCAGCTAAAATTTCAAGCATGAAAGATAAATACAATTCTGTCCCTTCTGCTGATATAAGGTATTCTCTCAACATTTGACCCATTGAAATGGGGGATATATGAATTAGCCAATTAAAATGCCCTCCATGCCAAATTTTAAAGAA